TTTTCAGTTTTTAGGATCAACACCTACATATAACATAGATTTAACTATAGTTACAAAATATAGGCCTTCTACTTTGGTTCCTCATTCTTTTGTCATCCAAATAAGATGTCTTCAGCCTTTCTGTCAGTGGCTGTGCATGGTGAAGACCCCATCTCCACACATTGTGTGTCTGGAGACTGCAGGAGAGTCGCACCACTCATGATGTTCCTCTGCTGTGGCCTACTGACACAACCCATTGGCACTTGGGTTTTACCCCACCAGCTACCACCTGCTCCCCAAAGTAGCAGTAGCAGAGATTACCTGTGGCAAATTTGTCTTGGAAATTCAGACATTTTGGAGGCATAGGGTAAGAAATAACTCTTAATTCAATAACCAGTTTTCCCTGTTCTTAGAAATGTAATGTCAGCCCTTGCCATTTCTCTAGCCCTCCATAGGCCCCAGACTCCTGCCATGAAGCAAGGTTTCTTACTTTCTCTCCTACAGTCCCAGGTTTGGATGCCATGCTCAATCCTTCTGTATATTAGAATCACCTGAGGAATTGTAAGTACTGTCAAGGCCTGCCCACAACCCCCAGGGCTCTGATTTATTCCATCCTGGAGGGCTGGAAGTGATCCGCAGGTGACTTTAACGTGCAGCCAGCAATGAGAACCACTGCCCTGCTCTCTCCAGTTGCCAAGGAACAATCCTCAAATTCCTGTAACTTCACTGTGCAGAGTAGCTTGACTCTTTTTGTTTTCCCCTCTCTTTCCAGCCATGTAAACCCTCAGTCTGCAGCCAGAGTGTAAAAGAATATTTTTCCCTTCCTCCTTTGTGTGGTCATACATATGCAGATCTTTAAAAATATAACATTTATATTGATGTACATTTTGTTTTTATCACTTGACTTCCTTTCATGCATAGAAGACTGCAGTACTCAAAAACCCATAATACTCCATTATTAAGCGTATGTCATAATTCATCATTTTCCTCTGCAATTTGGGTTTCTTCTCCTAATGATAATAATGTGCAATGCTATGCACATATTTCCAGAGTGGAATCATAGGTCAAAGGATATGTGCGTTTAAAATTTGGACAGGTATTGCAAAAACACTCTCCATGTAAGTGCTAAATCTCCATCAGTTTGCTACAGCATCTCTTTCCCCAGACTCTTCCCAACTCCAGATTTTATCAGTCTTTGTTACTATTTGCTAATTTGATAGTGGTCCCACATTGTTCTAGTTTGCATTTCTACGATTACTGGTAAAGTTGAACATACTTTGTATTTCATCTTTGAATTACCTATTTAATAAATTTGTATAACTATTAGTTTGGAAAATGCAATTCAGTTTCTCCTATTTTTCTCTCCTCTCTAACCCCATTTTAACAGAATGATAATTATTCAATCAATTCTTGATTTTTCCTGAGAAGGGAAAGAAACAGTATATATCATCAAAATTTCAGAAAAATCACAATGTGATTTATATTAAGATTTTACATGTATATTTAGAAAGGCCACAGATCTGGGAGTCAAGTATATCTGATTCACATCCTAGTTCTGCCTCTGTCTATGAGGGCGACCAGGGGTTATTCTTTCCTCATTGAGTCCTGGGTTTTCATAACTGTCAAATGGGAATAATAACCTGCTTTGCCTGATTGTATAAAAACCATAGGACACAAAGCCTGGCACACAGTTAAGTACTCAACAAATGGTTGCTATTGTTAATGATGCTATTATAACATTAGAATATTAGAATTCAATATTTGTTGAACTAGGAATCCTCACTATGAGGTCTTTTGCTTCACTTTTATCTCAAGGAGGCTACTGCAAAAACCAGCATCAAGAGATAGAGAAAATACTTATCTCTTCATGTGTCTTTTAAAGAGTAAAGAAAACTTGCTTACAAGTCCTCTGACAGATTTCTTCTAACATCATATTGGCCCAAATTGAATCATCACATTCTCGTACTGAGAAAAATCAGCAGCAGGAGACTGAAATGACTATTCTTGGTTTAGGCCAACCTGAGATCAGAGGGGTCTAAGTCACCTCGGAAGCACATGACTCCCCAGCACTTGAACAAAACCGTGAGCCAGGAAGGGAGGAAATGGTGGTTGCACAAATGCTCAGCAGTGCCTGGCACCATGACGTGGGTTTGTAAGAATTTGTAAGGTATATTTTTAAGATACAAATTTAAATGAACATGTAAATTTTCTGTTAGCCTTTGAAAGTATCAGCTTTGAAATTTGCCACCTGAAAACTTACAAAGTTTTCATTACAAAGGCAGGGCAGTAATATTTTCTGTCATTTGTAGAACTAGTAGTGTGACTGATGAATAAGCTAAGTAAGTTAGTTCTCAAGCACTTAGGATGGAATGGGTTTGTGTGGTGCTTTCCTGGGTCTTGGGAGGGAAACTTCTAGACAGGGAGGGCTGCATAGAGCAGAGCAGCAAGCTACAAGGGTACTCCTAGGGTTGTGTCTTGTGGCAGAAGCCTGCCATCTGGGTCATTCAGTGAGTCTCATACCAAATGCCCAGAATGCAAAGATACAGGATGTTGGGCATATGGTAGAGGGTAATTCCAGAGGGGAAGTTCAGTCTAAGACAGCCTAATATAGAGTTCTCCCTGTCATAGCGAGAAAGACAGATCTCAAGTATAACATGGGAATAGTCTTCTATGAAGGGCAAAGTGAGAAACACCTTCTGAATATCAATGCCCCATATGAGAAAACTGTGAATGAATTCACCGAATAAATAACCTAGAGCCACTATGATGTTTGCTTCTTGTTGCTCGAATACTTTTGACACATTTCCAGATCACCAAATAAACTAGGACTGACTTTCTGGAATGAAGAGCATCTCTGCACACCTCATTCTATTGTAGCCTTAGTCAGAAAGTCAGATTATGGAAGAGGTCAAATCCTAGAGTGATATTTTCAAGGATAAGGCCACTGGGGAGGACCATGCATGTGCATGCGTGGGGCGGGGACTTAGAAAAATGGGTAAGCTTGTGAGCTGCATGGAACTCTATGCAGGCAACATACTGGAGCTTACCTACCCACATCTACATCCCACACCCGGTCATTCTATCAGGATCTTGGAGAGAGGAGGGCAGGGGTAAAGCTTGCACTTCAAAGTTCTTAGAAATAGTTATCCTAAGAAGTTTGTTCTGAATAGCACTTTGGAGAATGTCATCAGGACAATTCACTGCCCCATTTGCCTTTACTCTTACTCCAGATACCCTCTGACCTGGGGACACAAATTGATGGATAAGCAGGTTCCTTCTCCATGATATCACTGAGCAACAACCAAAGCCATGGTCTGGTGAGACGTCTAGGGCTATGGTCTCCCCAAAACCCTTCTTTGCATCTCATGGCTTTGGTTGTCCAATGGTCACTGCCCCGAATCATTAGTATAATATTAAAGGATCTTTTACTATTAGAATAACTTGGGAAACATGAATTGAACAAGAGATTAATTGTTGGGGAGAAAAAGTAACAATTGTTGAAGTACAGTCTCCTTTAAAAAAGGGAAGAAAGGGAGATTTTTAGTCAGAAAGCATGCTGGCAGAAAACATTTTGAAGAGCTCCACATATCTGCCTATGCTGTGAGTCCAGAAGACTTAAGAATCTAGATTTGCATCAGCCAGTTCACACTGGGGCCCTGGCACTTAGGCAAGTCCCTCTCCCTTTCTGATCTTTGATTTCTTATCTGTAAAGTGGGAAGAGCATTAGCTCAGGGATGTTGTGTGGACCATAATTACTATTCACTCTCCACTTAGGCCAGCCATGGGACAGTGGGCCAGCTCAAGATAACTCTTACCAAGTGACTCTGGGAGGGTGCTGCTCTGATGGCTCATCCCAAAATCAAATCAGAAACTACCCTAGATAATTCTGGGGCCTTCCTGCCCCTCCCCTTTCCATAGCTCTCACGTCCATAGAGAGGGGTCTCCATGTTGGAAGCCAGCCAAGATGGGCTTGTCCCAGTTTTCTTTGCTTCCTCTCTAAAAGAACAGAGCAAGCTCAGTTGGATCATCTCAGGTGCATGCCTTGGCCAGAGTTGAGGGATAATCTCCCAAATTTAATGTTAGTCTCAGTACAGGCTGGCTCTGTCCCTTACTGGTTGTTAGTCCTTTGGGCAAGAGAGTTTATCTTAAAGACATGCTCCTCAGCTGCAAAATAAAAATTGTCTGATTAGACTGTAGTGATGCTTAAGGTCATTGAGATAGAATGTACATTGTTGACACATGCCCAGAATACAGAAAGCACTGCATAAAGAGTAACAATTGCTGTTATTGGGTTATTGAAAGATGAAGACTTAGCAATTACTTTTTAATCTAATTTGAGTACAGGCTAGGCATCCTTCATCTGAAAATTTGAAACCCAAAATGCCCCAAGATCTAAAACATTTTGTTCACCAGTGTGCTGCCATAAGTGAATATTCTCTACCTGGGCACCTGTGACAGGTTTCAGTCAAAACAAGCATACTGAAATACTGTATAAAGTTACCTCCACTCTCCATGCAGAAGGAATATCTGAAATAAAGGAAATTCACATTTGGACTTGGGTCCCATCTCCAAGGTATCTCATTACAAATATACAAATATTCCAAAATTTTTTTTGAAAATCCAAGATCCAAAATACTTATGGTCCCAGGCATTTTAGATAAGGGATATTCAACCTGTAATAGTATACATTTTAAAAATAAAAAATATATATTTATTAATAATGACTCTAATTGATTCCCTCACTCTTTAAACTAGCCATTTATTGTGTTAAATAGTGAGCATTTGTTACACCAGTAATCCATGGGGTTCACAGATAGGTTCTTCCTCTCCACTCTCTACTTACTGCTGCAGTGTGACTAAAGTGACCAACAAGTGACAAGGGATACTTCAACCAGTCCTTAGCCCCAGGATTTAGCATCCTCAGAGTTACTTCCTGATGGCTCAGAGATAGGGACAGTTGCAGCACCAGTCACACGCTTGAGGCCCCTCCTCACTGAATTTGCCCCTGTCTCTTCTGGCAGGCTGTGAAGCGGTTCTTGAAACAAGAGTGCAAGTGTCATGGTGTGAGTGGCTCATGTACTCTGAGGACATGCTGGCTGGCCATGGCTGACTTCAGAAAAACGGGCGACTATCTCTGGAGGAAGTACAACGGGGCCATCCAAGTGGTCATGAACCAGGATGGCACTGGTTTCACTGTGGCTAATAAGAGGTTTAAGAAGCCGACGAAAAATGACCTTGTGTATTTTGAGAATTCTCCAGACTACTGTATCAGGGACCGAGAGGCAGGTAAGTTCAAAAGACTTCTTTCTACAGTCAATACTGCACAATTTAAATGAGTTTCTGTATATTCAGCTGGCCATTTTTGTAAGTGTGGTCTGCTGCCTTCAGGTTCCAGGCTCATGTTCTTCATCATTCACATCAAACCACACAGGAAACTCTCCAAGCATCTGGAGAAACAGGTTGATAATGTGTAAATTCTGGAGAAATGGGGACCAACAAGAATGTACCTGGCAAAAAGTCAAAATATGCAGATTAGCAAAATTCTTCCTCCTGGTAAAATTCCAGTTAGTGGACAGATGTGCACTCTGTGTAGCAGTCCTGTATCTTTCCTGTGATCCTGAGGCTGGGAGATGAACATCTTTGTGATGCATCTTCCCCTCTGACAAATGCCACCTGTGACCATGGAAAGGGGCCCAGGACTTGAGGTTCAGTCTCTTCTGAAATATGCCCTCCTTCACATTCTCTTGTTCTTTTCAATATGCTTACAAGTTGCCAAACAGTAAAAAAGCAAAATTTTATCCCCACTGTCTTGGCCATTGGTGAGCAGTACATAAGAGGTGTGTGTAAGAGACACCTCATTTATTAAAGCCACACCCTTCCCTCATACCTTCTCCATCTTCAACTCACTCAAAGAATGACTCCATTAGCCTCAACGTGGCAGCTGTTTCCACCTGGCTGGTTTTATAGATGTGTGTTCTCCACCTGTTACCCCTCCTGCTCAACACTGAACTCCAGGCTTACAAAGACTCTAGTGCAAAATAAGAATGAGTCAAATAAGTCTAAATCGATAGGAGATGGTGGAAGCCCGCACCCCACTTTGGCTCAACTCAATTTCTTGGCAGAAAGCAATGGAATTTACTATCAGAAAAAAATCCTCTAATTTAAATCTGAGTTTTGTTTCTCATTTCAAAATACTTACAAAGGAACAGTGAAACAGTGCAGATGTAGCCAGCTGCTAACATGAGATTAACTGATAGGCAAGATCACCAGGGATGTCACAAGAAGGCCCCAGCCTCTTTCTTGCCTTTGAGTGGCTGAATTTCCTTCATGGTTTGTTGAGCTAGCTCTGTGCAGCAGGTTTATACATGCAGCCTATGGATTAAGGACTTCTGAGTGCAAGGATCAGGTGCTGTCTGTCTACATTCCTGACGTACTTTGGGACCGCTGGCAAGTCATCCTACCTGTCAAGCCAAAGTTTCCAGTGAATTCTGTGTTTTGATCCAGAATTTTCTCAGACATCTGGCTCCCCTTCTGCCACTAGCTAGATGTTTAATCTCAGCCTCCTCACACAAGACACAGAGATGCTATCATCTTGGTCACTTTAGGTCCTATTTGTATCCTGATCACTGGCCTAAGCCCAGTGCACACATGGTCTTGCTGAATTGTGGAGCAGCCATATGACATCAGTACATTGGAACTAGTTAATGGAAAAAAAGAAAAAAGGATAAGAGGAAGGCTGCTCCTAAATGATCAACAATAACCAAAAACCAAATTCACATCTTACTTTTTGAAGTAAGATAAGCAGCCCTAGATATCACTATCCACATTGCACAGATAAGAAAAGTGAATGACCTGCTCACAATCTCATGGGTAGGAGGGGACAGATGTCTGACCCCATGTCCTGTGCTTTGACCCTGAAACTACATATTTGCCCCACCTATCCTCCTAGCATGGATATGGAAAGACTTTGTAAAGCATAACCCTCATGCTTCCCAGCACATCTTTTCTGGCTCTTGGAACTGAAGCAGATTACACAGTGAAGTTGTCCCATAGATATTCAGGGATATAAGGACCATACTTTCTTTTTTTCCCACAGAGGAGATTCTAAATATAGTTCCTACTGACTCTTTATTTAATTTTTTCTTTTTTTCCTGCTGCTTCTTTAAAGTTACTAAATTACTTTTGCATACTTTGCTCTTCCTATTCTCTGTATTGGAATGAAATTCTGTTTCTTGATCCTAAAATAGCAAACATCTCTGCAGTACCCACCACATGCCAGGGCTCAGTCTATATGCCCTCGCTGACCTTCATGGAAAGTGTAAGGTGAAAATGTTATTATACCATTTTATGAGAGAAGAAACTGAACCTTGGAGAAATGAAGGATTTTGCCCAACAACTCACAGTTGGTAAGAGGCAAAGCAGGACTGTCTGTCTGCCTGTCCTTTTGACCAATTTTCTGTGCCTCTAGCTATTCTACTTAAAGGGCTGGCTTTCTGAAGAAGCTATGTAGTTTATTTACTCTTTTATTTCTATACTATCTTAGATATGATTTAGCTTATCTAAGTTAAAAGGACATGAAGTTTTTAGTTCTTAATCAGTGCTGATGAACTGAACTGCCTCCTCCTCTTTCCCCTTCTTCTTCCTTTTTCTGCTCCACCTCCATTTTCTATATATTTCCAATATATTGGATCATAGTTCAGTAGATAATCTAGATTCCTAGATTATTTGTAACTTATTTGAACTATACATAATTGACAACCTTTAGCAGAGCCTAAGAATATGCCAAAGTCCATCTTGTTAAATGTCCATCTTGTTTATTATTCATTTTTGGAGTCGTGGACAAGTAGACACGGATATGAGATGCCAAAAAGTCTGCTTCAGCCCGTCCATCTGCTGGGGCTCTTCTTTTTAGTTGTGTGACTAATGGGCTTCTAAAGATGAGGCTTCCACTTGACTGTGATAAACTTCTGAGGTATGTGTTCTACCAATTGATCAAAACAGTCATAGAGGCTTCTGAATATAGAGTCATCCTGAAGTAGCCTTTAATTTCCGTTTGTGGAAGAAGAGAGAAGTGACAGAGAATTATCAGACTTGCAAGAAGGGAGGCTTCCTGCCTCTAAATCACAGTGGATGTGTTGGGTCAGTCTATACTAAGAACCACCCAGTATGTGCCTGCAACTGAGTGCACACAAGGGACACTGCCCCTGCACTAGAATCACCCTACCTCAGGAAGAGACATACACAAAATGGCTTACCAGTATGGGTAGCCAGGCTCCAAAAGAGGTCCAAACTTTGCAGTGAAATAGTTATATACAACTTCTTTCATTTTCTTTTCTTTTAATTTCCTCTATTAAAATTCATATTTGCCCTTCCCTATATTTTATCTGGTACAACCCAGTCAGGCTAGTTGTAGTCATTGTTTTGTTTTGTTTTGCTTTTGTTTTTCTTGTCCTTCACTTTTTAAGTGACTATTGATTATTCAAGAGGGTTTTGCCTTGGCATTTCAGACATGTGTATATCGTGCTTTACTCTGATTAACCCCCTCTATTACTGTTTCTCTTCTGCCCTGCTCCCCTATTATTCAACAGCTTACAGTGTATTGTGTCACATTGTCTTCATGCGCAAATGCAAATGCTTTTGTTTTTAAATCGTGCACATTCAGTATTGAACTAACTGGGTACCTCCTACTTTATAGAACGAGAAAAGCAATAGAGGTGAGCAGTGGGAATATTGACAGTACTAGGTATTTGGAACTGACTAGCTTTACTCTTGCTAGTCAGCCACTGCTTCCTGTTCAAAGCAACTCATGGTGAGAAGTGATTTGGTTTATTTTGTCAATTAGGTTTGTGCATTGGATGAAGTCTAGGTCTAATCCATTGTTCTCCATAGTGGGGGCATCCTTAGAGAGTTGGTGAATCAAAACGTTAAGCAGCTGTTCCTAAGATTCTATATGCTTTCCAAACTTAAGCACATCAAAGTTTGAAAATTCAATGATTTAGGTAGTCCATAATTTACCCTAAATTTTAGGGAAGGAGAAATCCAGGGAGACATTCTTTTGTCTTGGAGTCCTTGATCTCTTACAAAGAGGGAACATGTTTTTCTTTATTTGAAATGTACTAAATAAATGTTACCCCCAAAATTATCCCTGCTCTGAATGGCCAAGTGCAAAAGGATGGTTCTTTTGCATTAGGCCCTCCATCTTCAGAAATCCTCTTTTATTGCAAGTAACTTGTTAAAATGATTTCAACCATCAACGCTTTCAGTGGAAATAGCTTGACAGGTTACCAAATGAACCCTCTGGTGAAGTCCTGAAACAATGAACTGTGACAAGAAGAGTCTCACAGTGCAAATGCTGGGGAATTGTGATGGGGATAGATCTCACTGGGGATGGATCCTGTTTTGGGGATGGATGAACACGGTTGAGTTCCTGCTCAGAGTTAGGCCTGTGCCACACATCTTAATGTACATTCCCTGACTCTTGGCAACAATCTCCTTCAGTTCCAGAGCAGGAAAATAAGATTCTAAAAAAGTTACTTAACTTGCCCAAGGTTGCATGGTCTGTAAGTGGCAAACAAACAAATAAATTAAAAAAAATTTAAATCCATACTTTTCTCAATATATCAATTATCTCCTGAAATTTGGGTGGTGAAAGGATAGGTCCTGTAATAAAAAGGCAATATAAAGGCATGGAACTTTAATGGGGTGAGAGGCTTACGAAGTAAGAAAGTCAAAAGTGATCAGAATTAAGCACCATGTACCTCGAACCCTTTTCAGTTCCAACCCCTTCAAGTTTTTAAGACTTTGTCTTTAATTATTCCTTAGAAATTGTAAGAAAAAACTTAAAGAAGATGTTATGGCAACAATAACAAGTAATTTTACCTTAGTTTTCAATGGAGGAAAGCAAGTGTTCTGATATAATACAAATATAAATATTTCTCATGCAGCTATAAATATTCCCCATGTAGCTCAGATTTAAAGAGTAGGAACACCATGTGATGTACATGTGACATATTGCGGGCCAAGTTGGAGACCACACCTTGGAGGCTGGGCTTTCTTGGATGAGTACTCCATGGCTCTGCAGTTATCTCCTCTGGTTATTGCCCCAGGCATCTGTAAACCAAAGAAGCCCTTCAGTTGGACATAGGTGCATCTCTAACTGAGGAATATTGCTGTCCTCTGGCCTGCACCTTAATCACAGGCCACTTTCACTGGTTTTGATGTAAAACCCTGACCTGGGCCAAAGGTCACCCTAAGGTTTCCTCTCCAACTGTAAGAATCAAGCAACC